ATCTGCACCCATCACTAAGCATCATCCGCACCCATCACCATGCATCATCCGCACCCATCACCATGCATCATCCGCTCCCATCACCATGCATCATCCGCTCCCATCACCATGCATCATCCGCCCCATCACCATCAGTGGCTTAGACGCATCAGAGGATCCAACGTGATTTTGAAGTTTCCAGATCATCATGGGGCATCAGAAACGATATCGGCATCTTAAGCACCAAGGGGCCCAAGATATATCAGTAAAGTTGCTTTCGATAAAGTTAACAGTACTTTAGAAAGACGGAGTGCATGGTGCAACGACAAAGTACAAGCGCGAAGGCTTTGCTGAATGCTAGCTGGCAGCTGCCTCAAGCTTACATGTTATGCAATTAAGCGACTTGGTTTGTTTCACTTCTCATAAAAACGGTGCAGCAAATGCATGTAAGTGACTTGTTTACCACTTTCTACCCTTGTTAGAAGATAACGAACGACTTTGAGCAGAGTCCCCACTGAGCCTTGCATTTTGTTGGAAATATAAATAAAATCCACACTGGCAAAGCTGACTCAGCCTACGTGGCAGTGTATTTTGTACGAATAAGTGTGTGCAGCACTGCCTAGCTTTACTGGTGCATGTCCGCAAGTCAAGGGCTGGAGATGGTTGTTTTCATTATCGTTGAAACAACTTCCGGTCGATGGTTGGTGCCGACACATTAGGTTTGTCTCCAGATCTGTTAGGTTTTGGCTGATATATCAAATATATTAAGCTGTTGAAAGTTAGGAATGAGAAACCATGATGCCTGCCAAATACATCGAGCTATTGGCGAGGCTCTGTAATCAAGTGTTTTATTACTTACTCCGAGTATAAACATCTCAAAAACTCCCATCAATGATTCCAAAATCAATATTATGATTAGTGCTCGAAAGATATGAGATCCTCGCATCACAAGATACCTCTCTCGGCCGGTGATTTAAGAAAAACTTATTGGATGAACTGATGACGGTACGGCATGGCCATACGGAGATAATTTTTCAAGTTAATTTGTAAGTGAGCCTTTTGGGGCTCCTTAAGGGGGGGCTTCGTCTTGGTAAGCGTTCCGCCATGAAAACAGGCTGAACAGGATGCGCTCTTACTGTTACGCGGCCTGCTATCAAACAGCCGGGAGCTAACAATACTGTTGTCAGGAAAAAACAGATCCCAGCAAATCATACTGTGCATCAGGTCACTCACTGCGTACAACAACGTCAGACTTAGGCTTCGATCGCCAGGCACACAGCCGTGACTCGATTACGGCGTAGCTGCACATACCAAACACAGCGTCTTTGTAAGGATGGCCCATAATTCTTGTCTAATGGATTTATTTTTCCAATCCTCTCCGGGAAACGGGCTTGCGGGATGCAACGTCATCCTTGTGGGACTTCAAAACTGTTTTATATCGGAAGAAATCCAACGCTAAACAAAACAAATTCAACCGACTTGTGACGAAGGATGAGGGTGTTGTAGATCTCACAGTATGGTAGCAAGTTGTCGATTTCATTTTATACCTTGACTACAAGTGAAATCCGTAAGGCTGTCCTGCGTTTGAAATGCGGCCTTACATTGGCACGTTCCCCTCCGTGAATTGTTCTTGACCTTTTCTGTTCGATCATCTTTTGACGTGTCCAGCACATCGCGACAATCATCTTGCTAAAACTTAGTGCATATTGAATGCATTTTGTCCTGCTTGGCCCATCTGTACGTTTCAAGTTCCAGCCTTGTGTAATTCATTTGCCTTGGTCTCGGGACTCCCGAGCGGCTCTCGATCAGCGCATACCTGGCGAAGTCCACGACACGCCACATGACACCCACACACAAACGCACACTGCTCAGTGTCCGAACCGTCGCCGCCGACAATCTCATCCCTTTACGCCGGTGGATCGCGGGCTACTCGCAACCGCTCCTGAAGCCATCCGACCGCGGCCGTGCCGGGATTTAGCGCGGCCGTCGCCGTCTGCGACCGGTCCTGCCGCGCCGCCCGCCTGTCCGGGTCAGTCCCAATTAGCGGCGGGGGCGCGGTCCGCGAGCGGCGCGGATCAACTGCGGTCGCGTCGCTAATTACAGCCGGCGACGCTCCGGTCGACGCGGGTGGGTCGCGTTCGTCCGAGCCGTCCAAACAAGCCGACCGCTCCGCTGGCAAATCACGCCGGATTGCGGTCATCCCGCGTGGGCTAATTCAGGCGGCGCCGCGCCCGCTGGCCGCTGGCGGCGTCAGCGACGGGACAGCGAGGCGGGCGGGTCACGGGGTGGGGGTCGATCTGCGGGCAAGACAGGGCACGTGAGCGGGTGGAATGATTGTGCGGACTGTTAAGTCCAATGGCGTGAAATTTGAAATGCAACTTTCAAATAATTTACATGCTTCTCCGAGTGCCAGTTATGGCAGCACGAGGCCTTCGAAAGTTCATGAAGTTATAAATCTAGCTGACGAAAGAATCACGTCACCGGAAAGCTTGTCGGAGCTATGGTGCAGTCTTGGAGGCCGAGCACGGCCAGAAGTGCTTGCTGGCATGGCAGTGCAGAAGTGCTGCTTGCTGGCGGGGTTGTGCACTCGGCCATGGGTTTCAATGTGACATCATTCTAGAGCTGCAGTGGCATCGTCATGCATCACTTCAGATCACGTTTCGAATGCCGTTAACTGCCTTCAGATATGCACAGGGTGTCCCTGGAGATGTTTAACAAAGGGTTGGTGGCCCCCTGCGTGGATTAACGGGAGATGTTTAACAAAGGCCTGGTGGCCCCTGCTTAGGGTAACGGATTACGTTTAACAAAGAGCTGGTGGTCCCCTGCGTGGCGTAACAGGCGATGTTTAACAAAGGCCTGGTGGCCCCCTGCGTGGAGTAACGGAAGATGTTCGACAAAGAGCTGGTGGTCCCCTGCGTGGAGTAACGGGCGATGTTTAACAAAGGCCTGGTGGCCACCTGCGTGGAGTAACGGGCGATGTTTAACAAAGGCCTGGTGGCCCCCTGCGTGGAGTAACGGAAGATGTTCGACAAAGAGCTGGTGGTCCCCTGCGTGGAGTAACGGGCGATGTTTAACAAAGGCCTGGTGGCCCCCTGCGTGGAGTAACGGGAGATGTTCAACAAAGAGCTGGTGGTCCCCTGCGTGGAGTAAAGGGAGATGTTTAACAAAGGCCCGGTCGCCCCCTGAGTGGGGTAACAGGAGATGTTTAACAAAGGCCCGGCCCCCTGAGTGGGGTAACAGGAGATTTTTAACAAAGGCCCGGTCGCCCCCTGAGTGGGGTAACAGGAGATGTTTAACAAAGGCCTGGTGGCCCCCTGCGTGAAGTCACGGGAGATGTTTAACAAAGGTCCGGTCGTCTCCTGCGTGGAATAACGGAAGCTGTTTAACAAAGGCCTGGTGGCCCCCTGCGAAGAGAGGACGGAAGAAGTTTAACAAAAGCCTGGTGGCCCCCTGCGTGGGATAATGGAAGCCTTAGGGCATGTCGCATCGCAATTTTCCATCGTGCTTGGTAGGCTTTTCAGTGATTTGTCACATTGATTTTATTCTCGTAAGCGCTGTCTTCTGACCGTGGTGCTTCACCGGCGCCATCTTCTCCCGCAGGCCGCAGCTCATGGCGGTGTGAGAAACCTCACCCGAGCACCAATGGCCGTGGCAGGTCCGCTTAACTTAATCACGCAGTTTGCCAAATCTTATGACCAAAGCGATGCGTTTTTGCTGCAGCCCTGACGGTGCGCTTTCTGACGAAACGGTACATCGGCGAGTACGACCACCACGGCGACCAGCCGCCCCTACAAGTACGAGCTGATGGTGGACGGCGAGCCGGTGCTCTTCGAGCTGCTCGACACCTGCCCCAAGGTACGGACACGTCGCTGGGCCGTAGGACGGCGGCTCTAGGACATCTGTGGCTATGAGCACGATCTGGTGTCGAGGAACCCCGGTTCAAATCCCGAATCTGGAGTAAGTGCTTCATTGGGCGATTATTACAACTGGAGTGAAGAGCCAGGGCACTTTGCCCCGATCATTAGCGTGTTGATAGACTCTGTGTGAAATGTCAGTGACCAGAAACTCCATAGCGCTGTATCTGGTCTTAAACTTAAGCACTTAATGGTTCTTTAAACTACCCTATGACCAGCGGATATTTTGATTCAGTCTCGAGCGCTCGTAACCACACACGGATCATAGACCGACCCACCTTTTTTCCTGCCACGACCGTCTGTTGTTTCCGTCGTCTGGTGACTCCGATCTGGTGCCGTGGTGCCCTGAGGGTTGCCGATATGTGGACGCGGTTTGAGCGCTGGAATGCTTTGTCGTTTCTAAGTTTCATGTTGTCCGTGTTGATCGAAAGAGGAGAGAGATAACTATACTGGTGCTGGCAGATACCGAAAATCCCGGGTCAATCAGCTCACATTCAAATGCCATAAACAAATTTCAGCAAACTTGTAAATCCCTTGTTGAAGACTGCACGGTGATGAGCTTAGTGAATGCCGAATATAAGGCCGTCGAAAGCGTGACCAGCTTTGGAGAGCCTGGCGCGGAAGCCACGACATTTATAGCTAGTTAAGGTTGACAAAAGCCCGCCCTGGGACGCATTTCTTAACAATGTTATTCTGAGAACAGACATCTTCCAATTACACACGTCTGGGGCCTTTTCATTAGAAAGTGTGTTCTAAGCTAGCTGCAGCAACCCGGCAATAACCGTCATTTCGTCGCGTTTAGCGCATTTGCGTGTAAATGAGGTCTTCTGTCTGCGCTGTGTTCGCGCTCGCCATTGAGTTCAGTCATATCTTAATGGACGTTCATAGTTGCTCTGAAATAAGATAACAAGTGGCATGCGCTTCCCCGCCGGAAGAGGCATTGTCGTTTGTCATTCTTTCCCATCATTTGCCTGTGCATCGCCCTGGACAAATAGTCGGCTATTTCCCGATGGCATTTTTGTCTTGGCCGTGGACAGAGAGGGATCATTTGTTTCTGTCTGTACCGCTGGAAAAATGTAGGATGCTCTAGTTCACCCGAACGTTTCACATATCATGGAGTTCTCGTTAAACTTTTTACCCAAAATAAGTCCCAAATCATTTTCTAACCGTGTAATCACTTATAGACAACTATGAGTGAAGAGGCCTTCAGCGCCACGCATTGATATGTGCCTGAGGAAATACAACTTCTGCTCATAACGAACAGAGTCCTGTGTTCATAAAGGGTGAGTAACGGACAGAGCCCTTTGTCCATAAAGGGCGAGTAAGTCTATTTCTTGGCATAGCCAAACGGTGCCTTTGTACAGGGCCGTCGTTCATGCGAAGGAAAAAACGGTTTGTATTTTCTAAGCCCAATCAAGCACGCAAAGAGAATAGCTATCCGGGTCTCCCATTTACTGCCAACCGGGTTACCAAGTTAATCGCCACAAAACACCTCTCCAGCACCAACACCAACAGCCGGCCTGGGAGGGAGTTGTCCTGCTCGGTATTTGTTCCTGATAATTAAAATTGAAACATTAAGGTCTGGCTTTCATTTAGTGCAATATGTTGAAATCTGTGAAAGATTTTAGACAACTTCCAGAGCACTCGGTTAGTTGTCCTCTCAACCCTAAGGGGTTGTAAGAATCACTCGTGGATGATAAAGACATCACCATGTGTACGAATGTTTTCCGATATCATTTTGATATAGGAAATTACCATGGCGGTCGTGCGACCTAAATCCCTCGCGTAACGTTCTTGGCGTACCATGTTTAACGTCCATTGTCTGTCTTTAGTCGGGTTCACGTCTTGGTCTTACACCTCACGATAAACGTTTCGAACAGCTTAATATTTAGCGATGCGTTCTTAGTTTCTCATGAACAAGACACATTCGTCGCGCTCGCGATGCCAGGCGACCGCGTATCCAGGTCTTTGATCTGTCGGTGACCGAACACGTGGCAGCACGCATTACGTAAGCACGTAGACAGACTCAGCGTGAGGAGCTCCTGGCCTCGGAGGCACGGAAAAGGCCGCGCGTCACCGACCGCTCACCATGTGTTACTGTGCGCACACGCACGGTCGGGGGCTGCCAGCTGAGGCGTGATTCGCACGATGAGTGAACAGGGTGGGGTGCACTGTATCATCTCATATCACTGAAGGCTGTCTCCCAGAGGTTTTGTCTCGCATGTGCTTACTTCCTCAAGCTGTAAGTCATTTGACGGCGGGCATGCAGGCATGCTTACCATGATAGCCGTCGCTAAGTGTCAAGCTTTCCGGGTTGTCCGTATGAAAAACAATTCTAAATGGGAAAAATGTGGCATGTTAACAGACAAATAACTTCCGAAAATCCTCCATTACTATTTTTTATCTAAGATTAAAACTCGAACTCAGGCTTTATTTACTTAAGCTTGTTTTTTACCGCACCCAGCCATAACTCTTTATGTTCGAGTGCGCCTCATGCGACGAGTCCAATCATCACCGAAATGCTGCAGCACCACCGCTGCCTTTAAACCCACCATGACGGCCCGTTAGCCATCGTCGCCCTCCCCGCAGACTGCCGGCGAGATGCCGTCGACCAAGACGCTGGACTGGGCGGATGGCTTCCTGCTGGTGTACTCCATTACGGACCGCGATAGCTTCAGCTACATCAAGCGGCTGCGTTCACACATGGCGCAGTGGCGGCGGGAGGGCGGTCCGGCCGCCGCCGCTACCCCCATGGTGCTGGTCGGCAACAAGGGCGACATGATCCACCTGCGGCAGGTCGGCAACGAGGAAGGTGTGTAACATAGCGATGCGCTCAAGCGAGCAGGACGGGGCAGGCGCGCGCTTAAGCGGGCAGCGGGGGAGGGGAGGGGAGGGGGGCGCAGGCGCGCGCCCAGCCAGCAGGATAGGGTTTAGCGATACCCACGGCAATGGGTAAGGCGTAGCGTGTTGTGTCTGTAGTGTGTTGTGTTTGAAGTATATTGTGTTTGTAATAAGTTGTCTTTGTGGTATGTTGTGTTTGTAGTGAGTTTGCCGGACAAAGTTCGACGCTTCCATGTGTTGGCATGGTTGTTATTCGTTGGCGTGCACGTGGTGAACGACGGATTTGTGTAGGGAAATTTGGGAGCATTTTAGTTAGGCATATATGCCCCAGCTGGCGCTTGTTTGTCTTGGTCATGCGTTTGAATCACATCTTACGCCGTTTTAGTGAATCATGGGTGCAAGACTCGGACCTGCACACTGCCGCATGACTACAAACAGCTGTTGCGTGACTAGATGTGGGTGGTCAGTTCGGACTTGTTACGTCGAAGAATCAGTGAGCAGGATCATTCGGGCACTCCACGAAAATCTTTGATTACCCAAAGACCTGGCTGAGAAATCCGTACCAACTACACACCAAAAGAAAAGCCATATCACGACTGTTTCCGGTTTGTAGTTTCTTTTATCCTGAACCAAACTTCTCGACATTTTAGAATCTGTGGCTGCTGCATACGTAAGGTTCATCTTCATTAATTATGCTTGCAGCGACTCTCCTGTGCCATCTTGGAGGCACCTTAAAATTAACGCTGTTTGCTCAGTATATCATCGCCTTTGATCCTGGTGAAACCGAGATTTGCTGCCCTTCACAGAAACGGCGACGCATTCAGCTATTGCGTCCCTCCCATACAAGTCTCAGTCTCCCATGGGAGTTACTAGCTTTATGTTCAGATATGTATGAGCATGTTCCAAACGTCGGTAGGCTAACATTTGTGTAAATATTAGGTGTGTTTCGTTTGTTGGTGGAACTTGTGATGGAACCGCAAGCAGGCATTTAACGGGAGCTGCTATGTTAAGTTACATTAGCTCATGTATGTCTCATAGCTAGTTATAGCGAACCAAACTCTATTAACACGCGCTCAGATGGGGTGAGGGTCAAATTACCCCCGCCCCCAAAGGTTTTTCTAGAATGGTTTCCGAACGGCGCGGTGTAGCCACGCCAAATCTTACATAGCTGTAGGCAATTAAATGACAAATCGTCTGGCATTACAAATTTTGATGCACTTTGTAAGGTTGCTGACTTATGGCAGGTCCAAGTCAGGCCATGGTTTCAACGACGACAATTTCTAGAAAATCCTTCAATCTGATCCAACAACGGAGTGTTAGACGAAGCCATATATCTCTGAGATGCTTTCTTAGGCAACACAACAATTGAGTAAACAAATTACACTGACCTAGGGTTGGGTATAAAGGTCAGACCAAGGTCAAAACCAAGCTGTTTTATTACTCTGGAGCTTGCTGCATAGGGTGGTTTCTGGTGCTCATTTCGAATTTATTGATAACAAGAACCACTTTATAGATCTTTCATGGACTTCGTTTAGGTCAGAACAGGTCACTGACCTGAAATGACCCAGGTCAACGTTTTGCTTTTTAAAAGTGTCTCCATCTTTCTTAGTTCCTGAGATCTTAGGGGAGCGGTCAAATTATCCCCACTCGAGCGAAGGGTGTCCAGCCGGCCACCCAGGTGCGTGTTAAAATTATATGATTTCCAAACATGCAAACATACAAGCACCTTTATGCCTCGAAACCACACATCTGGCACGGTCGCGAACGTAGGTATCGTTCCTCCACTCGTTCCCGTGGAAGGTAACAGGCGACTGATATCTATCCCCTTAGCTCCCTTTCGATAACGAACAATTGCCCAGGTGCTAAGTCACAATGATCCCAACATGACCATACGCTGTCTATGTCGCGTCGAAGTCCGGCTGTGCTGGTGAAAACCTAAGTGTACCTGCGACGTGGAAAGAGCTCGGCACACGTCATGGGGTATCCAGCTCTGTGCTCTGCCATTGATGCTACCACTGACCCACCCGTAACTTGTACAGGGAAGGAGTACGACCTCTTCGAACGGACTTTGGTTGCGTAGCGACAATTGGGTTCAGATAGGGGGCAAGGCAGCAGGAGCTATACTCCCAACGTTTAACAATACGCATGTGCGCATTGGAGTTGCGTAACAGAAAAGCGCAGCAAACAGAATAGTTTGCAGCTATCCAGGGACTTCCACGGCCGTGACGTGCCCCGCCCGGCACCGCCTGTGACCCCCGTCTGCTGTGCGCAGGGGAGATCCTGGCTCGCGACATGGAGTGCCTCAGCTTCCGGGAGGTGTCCGCCTCGGAGCAGGTCACGGAGGTGGCCGAGGCCTTCAACGACCTGTGTCGCGAGGTCAACAACCACCGGCGCAAGAGCAAGCAATCGCTGCTGGACCGGGTGCTGGGCGGCCGCGGCGGACTGCGCGTGTACGCCCGAGGCAAGAGCGACAGTGCACTGCCCAAGGACTAGGGCCGCTGTGTCCGAGGATGGGGGCCGCTTTTTGCGGAGTACTTCGTGGGCCTTGGTCACTGCCTAATGACTGGGGCCGTTGGCTGAGGACTAGGCCGCTGGCGGTACTTCTACTAAGTACTACGGTCCCCATTCGGGGAATAGGGCCGCCGCCCATTGGCTGTGGTCAATGTCCCAAAATAAGGGCCGCTGCCGAATGAATAGGACCGCTGTGCGAGGAATAATATTGCTGTCCGATGGCTGGGCTAGAGCTGACGCACAAGAACCGTAAGGTCGACGCTGCGCCACAAAACTGAGAAAAGTGGTTGCTGGTGAAAATAGGGTAGCATGACATCAACGAAGGATATCAGTCAGCGTAGAGCCTATAGACCGGAGGAGTGAGTGGCTCGAATAGGGGTATCATACTGTGCATTGTCTGAGAGTTGGTATGGTTCTTTCTTTACTGGTAATGGCTTTTGTTATGCATTATTGATGATGCCGACTGCCGAGTTTAGGGACGTATAGGTTTTATTTCTTCTCTGTTGGTAAACATTGCTTACCCTTGAGGTTTGAGAAGCAGCGTGTAGTGGAGCTGATAGCGGAATACTTAGGCAGGCAATTGCTTTAGGCAGCGTTTTTCTCAATGGCTGAAGATGTCACATTTTGCTCGGAACAGTAACAGGCTCAACTTCGGTTGTAAAAAACACCGTGGAGTGACCGGTGGCAATTAAGACCCTGGCGGTGGCGAGCCGACCGGCGACGGGATGAATTCAGTGAAGGAGGCGACGTTTGAAAGGCTCTGCGCTGCTCTGATTGGACAGGCACGGCATTCAGCAGTGCAGTCCAGACTGTCGAAGTCGGTTGGAATGTAGTCCAGAGACAGTCAAAGCCTGTTGAGGTGAGGGGGGGGGAGGATAGCCCCCGACCACCCGCTGCTTTACATCACAGCTGCTGTCCGTTGGCAGATGTTGAAAGGTGTGGGCAATGTTAAGCGCAATGAGCGGTGGCATTTCTTTGGTAGCGTTGTTGCGGTTGTGTTTAATTCTGTACTGTGAACGTGTTTTGCGCTGATCTGCATGACGAAGTTGCAATCTAGGTAGTGGAGACTTTCACATCCATTCTTAAACTATGCTCATGTGATTTGGGGTTACTTGCGTTTACTGACCGATGAAGGATGTCGATATTGCTTTTGGAAAAATTACGCCGTTCATAAAAAAATCGCAGCCGACTTTTCACGCGGTACATTTTTTATCGTAGATCATCAAATGCCACGTTGGGCCTCGTATGAAAGTGCCATGTCTATCCGTGCTGAAAATAAAGCATCCCGTGACATAAAAGGAGGATAAGTGTGGAACTTAATAAATGCCACAGGGACACTGTTCTGTAAACCAACAGTGATTGGTGTTTGTCTCTCTTTCATAATTCTCATCGCACAGGAGATCCAGTATAGGATCTGAACGGGCTCTCCGCAACCCTCGCCGTTCCAGAGGTACGGCGCACAGCAGTTCCTCCCTCCACCCCCCCCCCCTCTCCCCCCGCTTTGGTCGGCCTCTGCCGAGGTCGACCCTGACATCTGGCTCATCATATGAACGGCCGCCCCAGCGAACACTACACAGGAGCCGCCATCAGGAGCCGGCAGGGGGCGCCAGGTGACCGTCATTGTTCAGCGCCACAGCGGGTGTCTGGGCCAGACAGGCACGCGCTCACTCTGCGCCGATGCAGGTGCCGTCAGCTGGCGGCGCGGGTACCGCTGGAATGCAGAGGACAAACGTGAAGACCCATCACGCAATCTTCCATACGAATGAGACATCGCTATATTGGGTTAAGCTTGATATTCACTCTTTGTGACGTCCCAGTTCGTACTTGCTTCATAAATTAGACGCCTGCGTGGCTTATGAAACAACAGGAGGGAAATAGGTCATAAAACTGGGTGGCGTCGCTCGTTCGGTAAACTGTTACGTGCCGTGCAACAATGAAGCACGAACTTTCTCGGGCATGAACTTCAGACCCTGTTTATCGGAAACGTAAACCGTCTCCAGCGGGCTAGCAGGCACGTCCGTCAGGCAGGTCACAAAGGCCGGTGTTATTGTTCTTCTGCCAGACGTCCCGCTGTAGTGTTCCGGGGACAGGTGCACCTGACTAAACCACTCTCTAAACGGCTCTTGCAAACGAGCTGGGCTGCCCCGTTTTTGGACGTACCCGCTCGCTTCCGCGTCGAGCTTTGTCCACGCAATTCTCCAGATTGGCCAGCTTTCAGCGACCAAGCGCATCAAGTTTATGATTCTATTGAATTAGTGCCTGTTATACTCACGTTCGAAAATGTATTCACTACTAGCTGGTGCGTGATAACAAAGAAATATTCGAAAACCGAGGCCAACACAACTTAAGAACTGCAAATAAGCCCATGCTAAAAGGCAGCGCGTTCTGTGTCGATCGCCTGCTTCCCCACACGCGCGTCTACGATAGTCATAAATATTGCATTCTCCGATGCCTGTTATCGCGCCCTATTTAGTGATAGTGAACCATCAGACCATTAAAGATTTTCAGGTTGGAGCCGGAACCGGATCAAATCCACTGCCAGATTTCCGTTGTAATAGAAGCTGGGGTCCCATTTAGCCGTCTCCAGACAAAAGCCGGCTGTATCCTCTGAGATTTAGAGGAGCCCGCGAGCCCACTGAGAAAGAGACGTTTTTGTTCCGGCGTAGATGGGTTTGCCATTGAGCCGTGTGAAACAGCTCCAGACAAACTGAAATGAAATCCAACAGATAACGCTGGGTGATACTGTGTCAACCCAGTCCTGGGGCTCAACAAGTCAGCGACATAGTGTCGGCGGGTGGAAGTGAAGTACTGCCAGAATTCAAATATGCTATAAATCAGTGACGACTTTTATTGCCAACAAGCAACAGCATCACCACGCGCATGAAATCACCATCACCGATCTACACAAACATAAGGTGTACACATACGCGGATCGAATATGCAGCTATACATGCCATTCTTCGCTTTAAATAAAACCACGGCAACGAACCTAGCCATACCGAGAATGTTTGACAATGAAGTGAATCCAGTAGCAGATACAAACTGGGTCTCCAAAAGGGAAATTCGTTTCATCAAAAGTTAGCTATCCTTTAGTAAGTACACAACGCGCCACTTGCAACGCGCATGGGTTGCTATATGATAGAATGGAAGAGCACCGGTCGCACTGCTGTGATCTTACCCTATCCACAGCAGTAGATTACCAGCGAGCAGCTTGCATTCGCCCGTCCATGGCACATCAACGATGTTCCAGGACCGGGTCTCGCAGGACATTTTTCGCAAATCACGTAAATTACAGATTACAAGGTTTCAGCAGGGCACGGTACCGCCGCCATTTCATGGATTTTCTCTTATGCGCGAAATCGCATTATGTTCACATCAATAATTAATGAAAGTGCTTGCACTTATTTCGAGATAATTTTAATGCATAGCTGTACAGGTCGCTAGTTATTCCCACGGGAGAATGCAAGGACGGCCTGAACGCTCTGGACCCGTGTCTTCCACGGCACAGGTGCCATCTGTAACACAGCTTGCAAGCTCTCGAAGGAGGCAGACGACATCTCCGAGGCTTTCTTTGGGAATGGACGACACGTCTCCGAAGTTTTTCGTCCCCGAAGACGCGTCTACCGTCTGAAGAAGCCGCCGGCCGCATACTGATTCAGAGATTCCCGCGTCAACCTGCGTGTTTTGCCTCACTTTATGACCGAAGCCATCCGAGGCGCCACCGTGTGAAATGAACATCATTCGCTGGAGACGAGTGGCCTGAATAGGAGCGTCCCAATGCCAGGCCAAAACCCTTGCCGCCAGACACACAGAAGTGGGGTGGCAAAACGGTTCTACCTGAGTAGCCTTCCAAAGACAAACGCACGGGGATTTGCTATATTCAGGAACGACAATCCCCAAGACTGTCAATTGATTTGAGGAGAGAGCGTGAGTCTCACCAGTGACTGGAGAAACCGATAACGGTATCTCACTTGTCGAAAACTCCGTTTTTTTTATAAAATGTGGCAGTGCTCTACTCAGCAACCACGGAAATGGAAGTGCCGATCCTGCGCTGGTATACTAGCCCGCACAACACGGCCGCTCTGCGAGGCTGCCTACCTTTGCAGCCGAGCATGTCCACTGCGCAGCCACGATGCAGACATGTGGTATAAGCCGGCGGCGACAATAGTTGGACCCCGTTATTATCGCTAATCATAGAGCATGGGTGGCGGTGGCCCTACTTTTAGGGCGACGGGTGCCCTAAAATGTTTTTAGCTTCCACGCTGCCAGTACGTCCATTGCGGCCTCAATACGATAATATTCAAGCAGAAGTGTCCTGAAATCTAAATGTTCGTAATTTTCAGCTAGTACTATCCTTGCTCTGCTCATAATTTGTCTCAGCTCAAAAAGGTTGAAGTATTTTGGATTGCTTGCATACAAAGGGTAATTTTTTGTTCTCATGGCTGTCACTGGATATTTTGTTTCCGAAAAACCTAGGTGATGTTGACTGTGCTTAGTTGGCCTATGTGCTCCGGTTTGCTGGCATGCTTATTTATGCGAGCCTCTTTTAGATCCGTCCGTATGCTCTGCAGCCAGACAGCCGAAACAAAGGGAAAATGACACAGGAACCACTCATACACAGCAGCTTAGTATGACGAACTTTTCACCGCACACTTAGCGAACATGACAAGCCATACACGGTGATCATACTTAGTTGCGTTTTCACTACGACAGAGCAAATAGCCAAGCTCATCAAATGTATTGAAAATAGCTCCAGCGATAGCTTCATGCTGTCGACAAAGGCTCTCAAAATATTCCGATGGGTCACTCACAAGTACTCTTCTGATGTTCGTTTTATTTTCCCTTTTAAAGTTGAATTAGGTGTTACAACATTTGCATCTCCTTATTCAAAACACTTTCATTGCCAGCCGTCATAAGTGCCGATTATTTCGGTATTCAAAACCACCGTTCTCAAATGCTCAACATTCACCGTCTTAGCAACCGACGTGCTAAACCCATTCCCGACTGAATCGTCTGAATAATTGAGGCCGCTCACTGCTTTAAAGTGACGCGACCTGCTTGGTAACAC